GCACCGAGGGGGAGAACCGGCAGCTCTGGTCCTCGGGGCATCACCTCAAGTCGTGCCGCGACGTGGCTTTCTCCCAGGATGGGCAGAGTGAGTGTGGGGGACTTGGGGTGGCACTGGGGGCACGTCGGGAATGGGGGCACTGACATGGCTCTGCAGAGCTTTTCACTGTGTCCAAGGACAAGTCAATCCACATCCTGACAGTGGAGGAGGGACGGCTGGAAACGCGATTTCCCAAGGCACACAGGTACATCCATACAGGTGGCTCATCCCAGGCAGAACTGTGGGGGCATTGTCCCCTTCCCCTCCCTACCAGGGCCACACAGGCATCCCTGATGCTCCTGCATCATCCTGTGGGACAGGTGGATGCATCCTGTGGTGTGAGTCATGACCATGGGGCTGGGGTCTCTGCAGCTCAGCCCTCAATTGTGTGCTTCCCATCAATGACCACGTCTTTGCCACGGGGGATGATGGTGGGACTGTGAAGGTGTGGGACCTGCGCAGGGGCGATGCCATCCTGGAGGCACGGCAGCAGGAGGAGTACATCAGCGCCATGGCCGTGGATGGCAACGGGAAGATCCTGCTGACTGCCAGGTACCAGTGCCAGGCTGGGCTCCCCAACCTCACTTAGGGCTGTGGGAAGTGTTCTGTGCCATGTCCTGTGCTTACAGTGTGTCCCTTCCACCTCCCGCAGCGGTGATGGCACCTTGGGTGTCTACAACGTGAAGAGACGGCGCTTTGAGCTGCTCTCAGAGCCGCAGAATGGGGACCTGACGTCTGTCGCACTGCTGAAGGTTGGCACTGCTCCCTGACATGGAGCAGGATCCTGTGGATGCCTGTCCATGCTCTGAGTTTGTTGTTCTGCCTCACTGTCCTTGTCATGCCTAGAGGGGGAGGAAAGTGGCATGTGGCTCCAGCGAAGGAACCATCTACCTCTTCAACTGGGATGGCTTTGGGGCTGCCAGCGACCGCTTTGCACTCAGGGCAGAGTCCATTGACTGCATGGTGCCTATCACGGACAGCATCGTGTGCGTGGGAGCCCTGGATGGAGTCATCAGGTCAGAGGGAGCAGGATAGTGGACTGGATGGGATGGAGATGGGTTGGGATGAGATGGGATGGGGAGGCATGGGGAGAGATGGAATGGAGGTGGAGAGGTATGGGATGAGGAAGGATTGTTTGGAGCAGGATGGGATGGGGAGGGGATAGGGAGGTGGAGGATGGAATGGGGCAGGATGGGATGGGGAGGGAAGGGAGAGGATGGGGAAGGGAGGGGATGAATAGGTGTGGGATGGGATGGGGCAGGATGGGATGGGGAGGGAAGGGAGAGGATGGGGAAGGGAGGGGATGGACAGGTGTGGGATGGGATGGGGACGGTGTGGGGCAGGATCAGCCTTGCTCAGGACACAGGACAGGAGGGCAGGTGAGCTTGTGGTGCCCCAGGGTGCTGCCTCCCTGCAGAGTCCTCACTG